AATTCGACGAACCATCGACGAAAACTGAAGGCGACCACAAGACCCCATCTTGCCCAGGCTCGGCGGCGGGCGCGGGGGGGAAATGAGAAGGGGCGGGGCTTCCGAGGCTTCTGAGAAGTTTCTGGACTTCTGAGAGGGCTTCTGAGAAGTTCTGTCTGCATTCGAAATAGGCCAAGGAAACGTCTCAGAAGCCCCCCGGACTTCTAAGAAGTCCCGCGGCCTTCTGAGAAGGCCTTCTCCTTCTCATTTCCCCCCTGGGCTCGTCGCCTACAGGCCCCCCTGCGGGCACCGCTGTTTTTCGCCCCTCGGGGCCCGCGCGCTGGCGTCATGCAATGTCGCGCGAATGCCTGGGGGGCGGCGGTGGCGCACACCTCAGGGGGGCGCGACGAGGGTTTCACGACGGCGGCACGGATGTCACGGAGGGCGAGGAGGGGGAATGGGAGGAGGAGGAGGAGGAGGAGGAGGAGGAGGAGGAGGAGGAGGAGGAGGAAGTGAAGAGGAGGAGGAGAGGAGGAGGAGGAGAAGAGGAGGAGGAGGAGGAGGAAGAGGAGGAGGAGGGAGGAGGAGGAGGAGGAGGGGGAGGAGGAGGAGGAGGAGGAGGAGAGGAACGGGGGAAAAAAGAGGAGTAGGATGAGGGGGGGGAGGAGGAGGAGGAGGAGGGGAGGGGGAGGAGGAGGAGGAGCTTGGTGGACGCTTTTCGGAGCCGACGCCTCGTCTGGGCACCCGTCCTGAGAGCCTCTGAGGCCGCGTGGGCGGCGTTTTGGGCCGTCTTGGCGCCTTCTGGGGCTGTTTTGGGAACCTCTTGGAGAGCTCTTGGGCTGTCCTGGGGCGTTGTTGGAGGCGTCCTGGGCCATTTCGGAGCGTCGGGAAGCATGAGGGGCCAGAACGCTAAGATCCTTCAAAAACTGATGGGAAATCATTGAATGTACCACTGCGTTGGCCAGTTTGCAGGCCTCGTGGGCGTCTGGAAACCGTCGAGGCGCGATGGACAGAGCGTTCGGCGATTCGGGGCCCACTTGAAAGATCTTGAAGACCTCTTGGGGGTATGTTTGGCTCTCGTTGGGTTTTGTTTGGGTTCTGGGACTCCCCTGGGGGGCGTCGCATCTGACCCCCCCCCCCGGGACCTCCACCCCCCCGGCGGGTGAGGGATTCAAGGGTAGGGGCTTCCCTTCGACTCAATTACGACGTTGCTCAATTTCGCTTGGGCTGGCGCGCTGGGGCGCGCTGGAGGAGGAGGGCAGAGGGAAAGGGGGGAAGCGGCGACGGGCCCGTGGAAACGGAAACGAATCGAACGGACAAGCCCCTCACACACGCCGACAGGGTCGGCGGATTTGTCTTCCCAAATCCGCCTGTGGGGGGACATGCCCGACCTAACAGAATTCGGCCCGCCGTGGCGCAGTCGACCGCCTACCCTGCGGAGCGGGGCCCTGGTTTGCGCTCGCCCTCGGGGCTTCCTCCTGCGAGCTTGGCAGCGCTTGCTGTCGCTTATCAGCCTGACACATATGATTAGCAGCGCGTTGACTCGATGCCGATCCCAAGGACTCCCTCAGTTTCTGAGGGCCTGCCCCTAAGATTGTCATGGGCGTGGGCTTTTTAGTCTTGGGGACGGGGGTAAGCTCGAGGCTGGTTAGTCGCTCGTCCACCTCGCCCTGCTCGACGCCCTCATACCGTCGCCGTCCTCGCCGCCGCCGCTGGCAGAGCTGGCAAAGAGAGAAATCCGCCCCAGCTCGTGCTCCGACCAGGCTGTGCGTTTTGTAAAGTGCTTGCTTGCTGCGCTCAGCAGCATAGGCAGGGCCTCTGCAGGAGCGAGCGCCAGGGCCGCCGAGCCGGAGCTGCACCGGGCAGAGTGAATCTCCTGTGGAAGGGCCAGCACCGGGCTGCACTCGCGGCGGGGCTTGCCGTCCTTCTCTGTCTCGAGGCGGGACCGCGGTCGGCGCACCGCTGCGCCCTGTGGCCCAGGGAGGCCGGGAACGCGCGGGAAGCGGGCGCCTCCTCCCTCCCACCCCCCTCCCCCCTCTCCACCTCTTGGGAGTCCTTTGGGGTCAGGGCCCCTTGGCCACGACAGGACCCGATGTTTCCTGCTGACCCTGTCGACCCGGGTCCGACCTGCTGGCCCTCGCGCGACGAGGGTTTCACGACGGCGGCACGGATGTCACGGAGGAGGAGGAGGGGGAATGGTAGGAGGAGGAGGAGGAGGAGGAGGAGGAGGAGGAGGAGACGAGGAGGAGGAGGACGAGGAGGAGGAGAGGAGGAGGAGGAGGAGGAGGAGAGGAGAAGAGAGGAGGAGAAGGGAGGAGGAGAAGGGAGGAGGAGGGCGGTGGACGGAGGGAGGATGCGGGAGGAAGGGCGGGCGGCACGAGGAGGACAGGAATGAGGAGGAGGGAGGAAGGGCAAGGGAGGAGGAGGAGTCAGGAGGAGGAGGAGGGAGGAGGAGGAGGAGGGGGAGGAGGAGAAGGAGGAGGAGGAGGAGGAGGAGGAGGAGGAGGAGCAAGAGGAGGAGGAGGAGGAGGAAGAGGAGGAGGAGGAGGAGGAGGAGCAGGAGGAGGAGGAGCAGGAGGAGTACGACGGAAGAGCTGGGAGGAAGGATGTGGAGCGACGAGAGGTGGTCATCTGCCCGACGTGCTGCGTCCTCGTCACGGCCTGAGGGCGGCCGCCCCCCGTGCGGGCTCCGGCCTTTGGGCGGCAGCGGAGGCGGCGGCCGCCGCTGCCGTCGTGGAGGGCGTCCTTCCCTCCTGCCCGCACCGTCCTCCCCTCCTCCCCCCCCTCTCTCCCCCCTCCCCCCGTTGTCCCCCCATCCTGAACCCCTCCTCCTCCTCCTCCCCCGTCCTCCCCCTCCTCCCGCTCCTCCCCCTTCTCACCCACCGATCCTCGTCCGACCACCATCCAGCGGCGACGCCCCGCGCAGCCCGCAGTTTTCCGCGCCCCCGCGGCGGCAGCCGCGCCGCCGACTGGTCTCGAGGGGCCGTGCCGAGCCGCAGCGCGCCCGGGGCACGGGAGGCCTTGGAGCCTCGGGGACGGGGGCAGCACCTCACTGCCTAATCACCAAGACCCCTCTACAGTTGAAACCAAAGCCAGGAAACACCCTGCTTGCCTCCAGGGTGCCCTGGGTTGCTCAAGTTTCGATGGCTTTGCTATGGCAATCGTGACCTTCCCACACCGAGAAACAATGGACGTCCTGGGGTCTCAGTGTCGGGTTTCTTGGGGAAGGTTTCTTTTGGTCAAGCTCCTACTGTACCCAAGCCGACGGTCTTAGGTCCCCCCCCCACACACGCACGCACGCACGCACATGCACACGCACACGCACACGCACACGCACACGCACACGCACACGCACACGCACACGCACACGCGCACGCACGCACGCACGCACGCACGCACATACAATCCGGGTACGGCTTCCACCTCTCCAGCGCCATTCTGGTGCCTTCCGGAGCTCCAGAACTCTGGGGTCCCAGGGTCCTGGCCAGTTCAGACCTCCCTCGCCGCTCGGGGGCAGCGTTGCGGTCAGGAGCTCTGGCTTACAACGCGTCTCGCCGCCAGTCCTGGCCCATCGCGGTGCGGTGCGACACGCTAGCCTCGTCCTGGCGCAAGGCGTAGCGTGTCGCTGGGGCCGCCGCCGCGACACACTCTTGACCGTAGGGAGGGAAGGTTCAGGGCAGGCGGGGGCGGGGTTCGAGACTCGAGGCTCGAGGTTTTCTGACGTCTTCGTCGGAGAAAGAGAGTTCGAGTGAGAGAGAGAGAGAGAGATAGAGAGAAAAGGGGGGGAGAGAGATGTATATATATATATATATGTGTAGAAACACACATACTGAATGCATACAACAATGCATAAAGAGAGGGAGAGGGAGAGCGAGAAGGATCGGTATACATATACTTATACGTATTTGCACATATACATCTATTTATGATATAGAGACGGTCTCGAGGAGCGAGGTTGTTGAACGTACGGAGGAGGAGGTAGAGGGTGTCGCAGACGAGAATTGTTGAAGAGACGGGGTGATCGAAAGGATTGGCTGTGGTGCTGGTGGTGATGACGGTGATGGAGATGATGATTCTGATGATGTGGATGATGATGCCGATCACGACGACGATGACGACGACGATGTTGTTGATGATGGTATTGCTGATGGTGAAGCTGGTGATCGAGATATTGATGACGATGATTGTGGTGATGTCGATGGCGATGACGGTGACGATGCCGACGATGATGATCATGCGGCCGAAGAGGAGGATGGATGTGAGGGTGATTGTGACTGGTGTAGTGGTGATGGTGACGGTGATTGTGATGATGATGCCGATGTTGACGTTAATGATGATGATGATGATGATGATGATGATGATGATGATGATGATGATGATGATGATGATGATGATGATGATGATGATGATCATCATCCTGATGACGATGATGATGATGATGATGATGATGATGATGAGGATGAGGATGAGGATGAGGATGAGGATGAGGATGATGCTGATGCTGCTGCTGATGATTATGATGATTGTGGTGGTGGTGTGATGATGATGATGATGATGGTGGTGGTGGTGGTGGTGGTGATGATGATGATGATGATGATGATGATGATGATGATGATGATGATGATGATGATGATGATGATGATGGTGGTGGTGGTGGAGGTGGTTTTGTTGATGGTGGTGGCGATGACGGTGATAAAGGGCGATGGGTGGTGAGGACGATGCTCATGCTGAGGATGATGACGAGTATGAGGATGGGGAGGAGGATGGAGTATTAGCATGTCATGGATAGTGGACGATTGAGATTTGTAGATGCAGGAGCGGATAGAGAAACAGGGACCGAGGACATCGGGGCATGCTGCTGGAAGAGGGCCGGAGGAGCAGCGGGAGGCAAGGGAGCGAAGACCACGGAGGAAGGAGGGGCGTGGAGGTTGAGGAGGAGGAGGAGTAGGAGGAGGACGGTGACGAGGAGGACAGTGAGGAGATGGCCCTGGAAGGCAAGTCTGGCGCGCCGCCGCGACCGCAGCCCTTTGAGACATTACCCGCTTGACTTCGTGCTCAACTCGAGAAATCACCCCGCGTGTGCGGCCCTTAGCCAGCCCCGACGATCGGCGTGGCGGGCCTGGGGGATCCCATGGATGGGGGGATTGGAGGATGGAGAGGAGGAGGGGACGAGAGGGAGGAGGAGGGTCTTATCCGTAATTGCGGGGTGCTACAGCATGTATCTCTTCTGTATCAGTTATTTCGTTGTTTTTTGTAGTGTATCTTTTTTTTGTTCTCTCTCTCTCTCTCTTTCTATCTCTCCATCTCTGTATCTACAACTCTCCCTCTCTGTCTCTCTGTTTCTATCCTCTCGTGTCTCTCTCTGTCTCTCCCTTTTCCCTGTTCTCTGTCTCTCTCTCTCTCTCTCTATTATCTCTCTCTCTAAATTTCCTTCTCTCTCTCTCTCTCCCTCAACTCTCACACTTTCTCTACCTCCCGCGCTCTCCCCAGATTTTCGTCGTCTCGGTTTTACCCCCAGGCCTTTCGACCTTTTCCAAGGAGTGACTGGCCTTTCGTCCTGGGCTGGTTCTTCTGCTGTCGGGGTCCCAAAGCGCTCTCCGGGAAGCCGAAGACGGCGAGAAGCGTCTGGCACGACGTCTGCCGAGTCGCTGGAGGGCCGGGTCTCCCCCCCCGAGGGTCGGGTGGGTGGGCGGGACCTCCTGCGCCGCCCCTGGCGCGCTCCGCGCGCCAGGGAGGGGGGTCCAGCGCAGATTCCGGATATCCGCGCGCGGAGCGCCAAGAGTTTGTGTTTGTGGCGTTTGCTCTTCTGCTAGAGGCTTGCCTCGGTTCTCGGCGGTTTCCCAGCCTCAGACTGCCTTGCAGAGGCTGCGCCTAGCCAAGAGCGTTCCGGGGGGGGGGAACACAAGCAGTGGCGAAGCGTCCTGGCGTGCCGGTAGGCCTACCAAACAATGTTCCAAGATTTTAGTTTCCACGAAATGTTCTTGGAACATTTCTGGCTAGGACTGTTTTGTTTTAACACATCAGGGTTATGTTCTAAGAACATGGTTTTTGTTATTAGAACATGTTTGGGTTCTAAGGGCATGTCGTGCTAGGCCTATAGGAATGCCGGGACGTCGGTCCCTGCCCAAGGAACGGATCGTCTCGAGCGGCCGCCTGGGAGCCCAGTGATGGCCCGAGAACCAGGGGAGGGGCAATGCTACGGGGGGGAGGGGGCGGGCAGTTTCAGGGCGGACGCATATCGTCACCAGGAGCTTGCCTTGGCGTCGCTCGGACGCGTCGCTTTCTCGTCGGCGAGAACCCTCGAGGAGCATCTTGGATCAGCTTGCGAACAAAAAAAAGACAGCGCGCGGGTTTGAAAGGCGCGGGGGGGATGGGCGTCCGAACGACGGCGAGGTGCGGCTTCGCTGTCGGGGGGCCTGTCGCTAATCTGTCGGCGATGTCTCGCCGGTTCCAGGTCGATGCTTCCCCTCTTGAGCGAGTCCCCTCTGCCGCCGCCCCTCAAGGGGATGGGTGGGGAGGGAGGCCGCGGACCCAGGAGATGTGCGCGACCTTCCGGCAGGTAGTAATAGTTGCTAGCTTGGTGCCTGAGGCTGCGAAAGCTTCCTTGTGGTGCATCGTCCTCGCCCTCCCCTCTCCTCCTCTCGTTGCCGTATCCTGTTGCTGTGCTCCTCTCGTCGGTACTCTTCTCGTCGGTGCTTGTTGCCTCTACCTCTTCCCTCCTCCCGTCGGTGCCTTTTACTTCTGGGGCGTCGCTGTAAGTTATGATGCTGGTTCGTCTCTGTCGCTTTGGCCACGGAGCGCGCGACGTACTCGAGCGGTGTTGCGGCCCAGTAGCTGTTGCCCACGAGCTTGCAGTCTTGGGTTGGCTTTGGTTGCAGGCCCTGAGTCCTGTCCCCTCGATCGTTCCCCTCTCAACGGGGGGGGCGAAGGAGGGAGGCTGTGGACCCGCGGAAGTATGCACTAGCTCCAGGCTGGTAGGTACCTCTACGAGCATGACGCCTGAGGCTGACATGCCAACCGGTTGTTGGAAGTACGCATCTATGCATCCCCACATCCCGATCTAAATCAGACGTCTTCCTAGTGCAAGGTTCGAGCGGTTTTCCCTCGTCCCCCGGCCCCCCTCTTCAGTGGGCGGGCGGGGAGCCAATTTGAGCGCCTCCTTTACTCAATTCTTCTACGCACTTCTTCCGACCGACGGTGAAAGTTGTGGTTGCGCACAAGCTTGCAGTCTTGAGTCCGTTGCCGATCTCGAAGCCGCCCCCCGCTCCCTCCCAGGGGATGCGAGCGCTTGCGCGCGCGACCGGGCGCGCCGAGGCGAGCCTACATACCCTACATACACGGACGTCGGGGCGCCCGAGGTGAAGACGATATCATCGTCGTCGTCCTTCGTCGTCGCCGTCGCTTCGGCGGCTCGCAGGTCGGTACGATCGAAATGGGTACGGAGAGAAAGGTACGAAGACCGACAGCAGTTCCTGCTCGTTTTGATCCAGACTCGCTGTCGGTGTCGTCGCGGACGTTGTTCATTTGAGACAGTAGGCCGCCTGCCCAACAGCGGCCGTTGTCGGTGTTGGACAACATGTGTCGTTGAGCATATTCCATTGCTTTTCCGTGCCCGTTTCGGGCGTCCAGAGCAGAAGGATTCGGACGTGATTTGTTGTTCATTGTTTGGGCCTCCTTGGGCCCCCCCTCTTGGCCACGGCTGCTCGCAGCTCGAAGGAGCTGCCAGGGCAGATCTTGAGTGGATGAGGATTGGAGGACTATGGAGACGAGAAGTGGCGGTGGCAAAGGCGAACTAGGGAGATTGTGGACTTGCATGGGGAAACGGAGAAATATGATGGAGGAGAAGGAGGACCAGGATGAGGAGCATGACGAGGACGAGTTGCGGCAACATCGGGGGAAATAAGAACAAATATGATATATTTCGAGAGAGGGAGGAGGAGCAGGAGCAGGGGAGGAGGAACAGGAAAAAAAGGAGGACCAGTGTAAACCCAAGATTCATCAACGATGCTGGGATACACCCTCCTTCGGAGCTCACTCTTCACAGGCCCTACGAGGGTTCATTTGCATCGAGGGAAGTCCCCCGTTGGGAGACAACAGTGTGAACACCGTGAAGCGTGCCAAACCCCATTCTTAGGACTTCAGCGCCACGAGCCAACCTGACTCTCGCGTCTTGACGATCCTCAAGCGTGCCAGAACACCATCCCTGGGATCCAGACACTTGGGACCCCATTCCTGGGAGCAGTTGTTTCGCCCTGACAGTCCTTAATCGGTCCCAAACACCATTCATGGTACGCCAACCATCAGGATCTGCACAACATGTCACACGAATGGGAACGAATGTGCGCGGCGTTAAGGCGAGAGCCATTTTTTCAATCAACGCCCTCAATCCGTGAAATTCTTTGCAACTGTCGAAGAAGAATGTGCACGCACGGCGCTAAGGCGAGAGCGACATGTTAAAAACGAGCCGCCCTCTATCCATGAAGCTCTTACAATTGTTATGTTAAAGACGATTGTGCTCGCCGCTCAGGCCAGAGCCACATGTTTCAAGCCACCCGTTCTCAATTCTGGGAGTTGCAAGTTGGCAGACGAATTTGCACGGCGATCAGGGGAGAGCCACATTTCGAAACCGGCACGCCCTCCATCCGTGACACTTGTGCAAATTGTTCAAATGAGTCTGTGCGGCGCTAAGGCGAGAGCCTCATTTTGAAAACGACCCAGTTTCTAAGCGTCAGGCTCATAGATGGTAAGCATGTCTGAGGCGAAGCGCCTGTCCCGCCCTTCCGACTGGCCTCGGGGTGCGACAGGGAGGAGTTATTCATAAGGAAGAGGAACGGATGAAGAGGAGGAGGAGGAGGAGGAGGAGGACGACGATGAGGAAGACGACGAGCAGGGCGAGGACGAGGAGGAGTAGGAGGAGGAGGAAGAGAGTGAGGAGGATGGTTCGGGAAGAGGGGAAGATGGGGGGTGGGGGAGGGAGGGTGGAACACCAGCATATTGGCACGAGGAGGACGGAGGGACGAGGCGGTGCAGCGAGGAGGAGGAGGAGGAGGAGGAAGAGGAGGAGGCGGCGGCAGGCGCCCTCCGTGGGGGGAACGGCCCCGCCGATATCGTCCGCCCCCTCGGACGCGCCGATGTCGTCTAAAGATAATGCAGCAACGCGCCGGCTCGATGGAGGCCTCGCGCCTGCGCCCTGCTCTCTCCCCTCCGCCTGTGCCCCCCCCCCCCCCCTCCACCCCCCCCCGCAACAACCAACAAAACAGCAGGTGGCAAGCGCACTGGGCGTGGATGAGCCTGGCATCACGAATCTGCCGGCACATCCACACATGATACGATGCCCTCTGAGTGTCTTGCGATAATGGGACTCAGGAACAAACAGTCTTGCGTACCTGTTCGCTGCTTCTGGGGACGCCCCTTGGGCGGACAAGCTCTGCTCCCCCCCGAGCAGCGGCGTCCAGATCGTCACGATCCTTTGTTCGCATCATAAGGGTGAGGTCGATGATGCATGTCCCCGAGGGCTGCTCGTACCACAGGGGGCCTCAAGGCAGGAAGCTTGCCGTCATGTGAGAAGGGCCGCCCAGGTCAAGAAGCAGCGCACTTGGACCCTGCCCCAGCCCGTTCCTCTTCTCCCGTCCCTTTCTCCCTCCTTTTTCCTTCCCGCCCCCCCTCCCCCCCAGTAGGCTTTCGGCCCAAGTCTGCAATGGAACCTTCCAAGAAGTTTCGAGGATCGGCCCTATAGACACATTCACTGTATCATATAGTGAGGGACCCCGTCCCGGGCCCCAGGGCCAGCCCAATTTCCCCCCTCTTCCGGAGCCCGCTTTAGTCCCGGGAAATCAGGGTTCCTTCTCTCGAAGCAGAAAAGATTCCACAAACAGAAGCTTTTGGCGCTCCGCGCTGGATTTACTGGGTCCGCTGTAAGCCCCCCCGTGGCGCCTCGGGCGCCGCCCCTGGCGCGTTCCGCGCGCCAGGGAGGGGGCTCCAGCGCAGATCCAAGAAATCCGCGCGGAGCGCCAAAAGTTTATATCTATGTGTGTTGTTTCTTCTTCTATTGTCGGAGCCATGGGTCCCCGCTCATCTCCTTCCCCTAACCCTTCCTCCAGCCCCCTCGATCCTGGATCTTCGTCCAGAAACCGCTATCCTCGATCCTCCCCAGTCCCCCCGCGTGCCTCTGGCACCTCCTGGATCCTTCCTGCTGGATCTCCCCTGCCTCGATCCTCCCTGGCGGCCTAGCCGACCCCTAGCCTAGCAAATGATTCCCCTTCCGCGACGCCCCCCCTCGCCTCGCCCCAAGACGTGTGGATGCGGCCAGAGGGGAGCTCGACAGGCGAGGATGCCGTCACGGAAGGGGATGGCTTGCTAGGAGGTCCGTCAGGCCGCGCCCGAGCTGGTGCGCATGGACCTTGCCGGGGCCCAGGATGGCCCCGGCCAGGCGCGGCGGTGGTGCACGGTCGGACCGAGGTGGCTCGAAGATCGAGGTCGGCTCGGGGAGGTCGCCTTAATGTGCTTCGTGCGTGCTGGATGTTCTCGTGCATCCTGGTGGAGGATACCCTCGGGGGTGCCCCGATGTTCTTCGTGCGTGTTGGATGTTCTTGTGCATCCTGGTGGAGGGTGCCCTCGACTGTTCTTCAGTTTGACCGGCGTGTTTGTTGCATGTCCTTGTGCATCCTGGGGGAGGGTACTCTTGACTGTTCTTCAGTTTGACCGGCGGAGTGGTTGTTGGATGTTTTTGTTCATCTTGGGGAAGGGTGCCCTCGATTGTTCTTCAGTGTCAGCTTCGGCGGCGGAGGATGCTCTTCTGTCCAATGTCCAGCCGTCTTCTGCGCATTCCCCCCCCCGCCCTCCTGCGCGCTGCAGGCTGGCGTCATCTCAGCATCGTTTCACCGACCCCTGGCCCCATCCCCTAACCCGATCCAGACCCCCACCACCTCGGCACCCCAGTTGGGGCTGTGCACTTCGAAACCCGAGCGAAGCAGCCCATACCCCCCATCCACGGGGGCAGGTCGGCCAGCGGAGCCCGGGCCACGCCCACGAGGAGGGGGGTCGGCGAAGCGAGGCTCACCGTCGGCCCCCCCCTCCCCCCGCCCCCGCCGGGCCCCCCGGCGCGGCGAGAGGCGGCGAAGGACCAGGAGGAGCAGCCGCGCAGCTGGGCGCAGGCCCCTCCCCCCCCGCGGGCTCCCGGGGGCGCCCGGCGCCTTCGGAGGCCGCTCTGGTGCTGCGAGCCCCCATGTGGAGGTAAGCGGTTTCAAAGATCCCCCCCCGCCTCCCCCCGGCCCCTGGGGCCCCCCCTGATTTTTCGAAGGGGTGTGACGAATAAAATTCGGGGGTCGGAAACCATGTTTTGAAGCGTCCCCCCCCCCGCTGCGCCCCTGGGCTCGCGCCGCGATAGCGTGCCGACGACTAGTTTCTCAATCGCCCCCTCGCCCCCCCCCTTCGCCGCATTTTTCAGGCGTCACTTTGAAGTACACTTCGTAATCACCCCCTCCCCCACCCGCGGCGCCGCTTCGAGGATTCATTCGGATCTATGGGGATTCCTTATGAAGTGGAGGAGGAGGAGGATCCCCGAGTCTCAGGAGAGCGCGTGTTCCCCGCCTCCCGCCGCGGGGGGCCTGGTCTCCACCTGAGGAGCCAGACCCCCCGACCGTGAACTGCATGCAGTCGACGGCTTTCCCCTGAACGGGGGCCCTGCGCCGTGCGGCTGCCTAGGGCCCCCGGCCGCGAGGCCGAGCGCGACGGGCTTACCGATGTCGACGCCCAGCTCGCTTGTCACGTGCCCGAGCCGCGACCTGCGCGGGGGCCGTCGTACGCGGTCAGCATCTCCTCGAAGTTGCTGGCCATTGCGATCAGCTCGTCGCGGTCGAACGGGATCTCGGGCACCTTGGGGAGCCTCGCGCGCGTCGCCAGGCGGCGGACGAGATTCCGAAGCTGCCAGATCTCCAATCCAGCGTGCCTGCTCTTGTCATAGTGCTCGCCGCCCTTGCCCGTGTTCTTGCCCTTGCCCTCGCGCGAGGCCGCGCTGGATGGCGGGCGGCTCCGCTGCACCAACGGCAGAGCATCAGCCCAGCTGTCGTCCTCCAGCATCGGCACGGGCGATGGATCGGGAGCCGCAGCGCCCCGCACGGCACCCTCCGCCGCCCCGCCCCCGTCGTCGACCACCTCCATGTCGAGCGGCGCCATGTCCGCGGCTGCTCCTCGGCCACGTCCGCGCGGGCGGCGCCGCCGCCGCGGGGCGGCGGGTGGCGCGGCCGCCTCAGCAGGCGGGGCGGGAGCAGGCGGCGGCGCCGCCAGCACGGCCACGGCCGCGCGGAGGAGGCCCTCAGCCGCGCGCAGCAGGCGCACCGCGTCGCGGCCGCCAGCGGGGGCGCGGGCCGCCAGCCCAGCGGCGGCGTGGACCGCGAGGAGCGCGCCGCGCGCGCCCTCGAGCGGTGCCGCGCGGGCAGCCATCGCCGTGCCAGGCGTCGGCGCGTCGGCGGCGGGGCCAGCAGCGAGCGCGCGTGAGCCAAATGGTACTGGAGGAGGAGGAG